AGACTGTAATGGGTTACACGTGTAGAAAGCCCAGTCTGTCGCTCTCAGAGCTGCTAGTGGTTTCAAATTGCCGACCATGAGGATTGCAGCTCAACAAGTAACTACTACACCACCAGGGCAAAGTGGATGCCACTCAATTGTAATTGATGCCACTAAATTGAAGGCAGGAAAAACACTGAAGTGGCAATTGTTGGGTTCTATACATTTTGCAACGGTAAGTTGCCCAACTAAGCTATTTTAAGGTCCAGTGGTCCACACTAAACTACAGGGTGGAGAAAGTGGCTAGCCTGGCACACCCACACAGAACAAGTCAAGAAGAAAAAAGAGAGTGAGGGACTGCATCCTACACTGGCCCTTCAAGCCCTGAGGAGGATGGTCCTGCACGGAGCTGCTAAGGCACAGAGAGGACTATAGGGCCAAGAGCTCAAGACATGATGTCCCCTTGCTGGAGCACACTGCAACAGAGGACACACGGCAGGGAGTGTGTCCAATCTCATCTGGCACCCACCCCGATAGTGGTGTGAACCAAGAAGGGAACATAACATATCAGCAATGGGAGTAAAGCAAAGCCACAAGCTCCTGAGGTGCCCCCAAATAGACTTCAGGCTAGGAGGGGCAGGTCCCAGAACCCCCCAGGACCAGTGGGGAGATAGTCATAAAGGTCAACAGACAGACCTGGAATTATGTATGCTTTTTTGGTTTTGTTTGGCTAGGGTTCAGTTTTTCCTCTTTTTATTCAATCTTTTGTTTCCTTTTTGTTTTGTTACTGCTGTTTTGCCCACACATATAAGATAGGACAGGGAAGCAAGGCCGAGGAGAAAGCAGCTAGACCGATGGTTCCAGAGGGACTTGGGGGAGGAGGCTGGGGAAGGGAACAGTGAGCAAACAACTCCATAGACAGGGGAACAGCTAGGAAATTAAAATCAACAGCAAGGAGGATGTAGAGATCTCGATGGTGTTGAAGAAACAGCAATTTAGCTGAGAGGGATTACTAACGGGCTGAAAGAAGGGCGACGAGCATGATTGGGGGTGGGGGGTGGAGGAAGGTAAAAGGAAATAGGAAAAACCTAGGAAGCAAAGCTATGGATAGAGGTATAAGCATAGGTGTGTACATATGTCAATATATTAAATCATAAAAATAGAGGTATTGGCCTATGTACATATATTTACATGGCAAAACATTGAAGAAGTGGATGTGCAAGAACACTATGTTCTAACAACCTAGCATTCTGTGATGCTCACCCTCCTGGCATGATTGCTGAAGACAAATGAAAGCAAATGTGGTGAAGAAAGCCCATGGTGCCTGGGTATCAAAAGATGTTGTGCCTGGGGTCTTACAGGCTTGAAGTTAAACAAGCGGTCATCTAGCAGAGAAGCAACAAGCCCACAGGTAACAGGCATCAGAAGACAACACCCCCCAAAACCCCCCACATATTTTTGAAAACAAGGGGGGTCGGCGCAGAGACCCCAAACCCATCTGTAGACAATAGGACATACCCTCGCAAAAGGGTCACAAGGAAGGATGAGTCAACCAGGATGCAGTATAGCACTGATGAAACACAATATTCCTCTGGTTCTTTGAAGCTTCCTCACCCCCCACTATCATGGCCCTATCCTACTTTTACGTTCTGGCTAGACGGAGTTTATACACCAAAGCAGGTAGAGATAAGAACTCACAACACGGATACCAGGAAGGTAGGGGGAAAGGTGGGGGTGGGGGGTGGGAGGGAAACCGTTTGCAATGATCAACGCTTAACCACCACCACCCCACCCCCTTCCCAGGGGGCGAACAACAGAAACGTGTGTGACAGCAGTCAGTGTGAGGTATGAAAATAATAATAATTTATAATTTACCAAGGGTTCACGAGGGTGGGAGCATAGGGGAAGGAGGGGAAAAGGAGCTGATACCAAGGGTTCAAATTGAAAATACATGTTTAGAAAATGATGGCAACATATGTACAAATGTGCTTGATACAATTGATGTATGGATGTGGTAAGAGCCCCCAATAAAATGATCTTTAAAGAAAAAGATCCAGCGGTGCATCTGCTCGTTTCCAGTAAACAGACACACAGTGAAGCACACACAGTGACACTCGCGTGTTTCATTCTTCTTTCAGGCACACCACCACACCATTACAATCTGTCATATCCGAAGCCATTCCAAAGCCATCTGAGCACCTCATTCTATCCACATGCGGTGCCGGAGAGTGCATAGGCCTACAGCCTTGTTGCACATTCGCAGAAGCCAGGAGAGCTTTAGGGGACTCGAAATCGTCTGGCCATTTGTACGCAGAGCCTCTTTGTTCCTTCCGGTGAATTCTCGAAATTTTCCGACAGCAGCGACAAGGCCTTGAGATCATGGTTCCACTCCTGGCAAATGAAATCCCTGAGCCCACAGATCGAAACCAATCAGGCTTCCGCATCCTTCTCAATAAGGATCCCCGGTAGAGTCCATCCCCTGGGCAGTTCACGATCCTGGACTCTAGGGTGCAGCTTCTCGCCGTGGCATATGCAGCTAGAATACCCTGCCGCGCCACACCCCAGCGCTGGCAGATGGCTTGGTTCTCCCAGTACCTTCGGCCGCTGGGTCTCCCACCTCCCAACCTCTAGCTCGCATACAGATCCCAGGCGTCGCCCTGTCTCACTCGCTCGGGCAACAGCAGCTGCTGCTGCGACAGGACCCTGCTCCCCTCAACAGCATCCTTGCTTCCAGGAGCTTCGAGCTGGGCGCCCTCGGAGTCTCACTGGAATAAACGGAGGCAGGCGAGATGGGAGAAGGCAGGTGCTGCTTCCCTTCCATCCTCCCAGCCCGCCTCCCTCCGCCCTGGGCATCCCCACCTTTCAGACCCAGCCCACCCCACCCACTAGGTGATAGGTACCACATGCACCTTCAGAAAGGGCCAAGTTCAAGGCTTGGAGTGCGATCTGGACAGGAAACGCCACTAGTGGGCCACAAGGCGACACGGCGCTCTTGACCTCAAAAGGGAAGAGAGATTTGCACAGAGAAGAGCGCTTGACTGTGGGGCCTGGTCCGAGGGGTCTCCTAATCAAAGCAACCCCCCCTTCCTTTTAAACCCCCCCGCCCTTTAATCTCCATTCCAGGGGGGGGCTGGGGTCGATGGGATAAGCCCCGGCCAATAAATAACATTATAAACGATTAGCAGAAATAAAGGAATCGCGCTCTTTTGGCCGCTTACCTCGTGGTTATGGTCCTGCGAATGTGTTCATTAGCCAACGGAGGGAACGGAAGGGCCTGTCAATTCGATCGCCTCCTCCGTTGTTCCTGATCTCCAGAGCGGGCTTGCCTGCTGGAAATTCTCGAAAATATTTCAGTGCTGTTGGCCTGATGGCCAAGGAGGGGAGTCTGTTTCCGCGGACTGACAGCCACGCCCGCCAATCCGCGTCGGGCGAGTGGGCGCGGAGGCCGCCTGGGCGCCCGGCGGCAGCTAATCACAGACGCCGCTGGGAACGAGCCTCTCCCGCAACTGCAATTAGACCTCGCAGACATCCCGCTGCCCTCGGCAGAGCGACAGGGATAGGGCCCAGTAGCGGCTGGCGACGGCGCCCCGCCCTCCACAGGGCCTGGGAGCGCGGGCCAATGAAGGGGCTCCTGGTGATGGGTGGGGCCGCGGGCTTTGCACCAAGCCTGGGTGTGGAGGAGGAGGGTGTGGCGCTGCGGTCAAGGGGGCAGGGTTGTGACCACTGGGACACCGAACGCCTGCACTGACAGTCCTTCGTCTCTGAAAGTCTACCCGTTTCCTGCTGTTCTTTAAAACGTTCCTGTGAATCATTCTTTGCTTGACATCCGTGCTCTTCAGTACTCTAAAGAGGCCTTGTGCAGGAGTATTTCTCTAACGCGAGGTGTCATGTGATCTCTTGACCGCTGCTTCCATGAGCATTGGTTGGATCCAAGCAAGACAAAGTCCTCCAACCTTGCAGTTGTCAAGGATTTGTTGTCAGAATATCATAGCCTTATTATTTCAATGCACTTCTTGCTTTATTGAGATATATATTCATCTGGTAGGCCTAGTTCTCCCATTGCCAGTGAATATTATGCAAAGTTTTGCCTTATCGCCAACACCCTTTTTTTGTATAAATAGTGTCCAGCCACTTAAGAATTTAATCTGTACACATCAATAATTCACGGATTGCTGTCTATACTTGTATAATCTTCTTTTCTCAACTCTGTTTTAAATGCCTTGCCATTGGCTTAATTAATGACATTATCAACAGAATGGCTTTATACCCCATGGAGATGATTGATAACGTTCCCTAAAATAAAATGGCAATGATGTCTCTAAGGTGAACCAGAGACATATATAAACCATAGATATATAAATAGATGTGGAGTTAGCACTTAAATCTAGCCCCAGCACCCCCAAAATAAGCTTTTATGACATGGCCCTGCTTGGTACTCAGCCTTGTGAAGAGATCACTGAAGATATGGGTGCTACAGCAAAATGTAGTGAAGAAATTTTAAGGGTGCCTGGCTATCAGAAAAATAGAATCTAGGGTCTTAAATGCAAGTCTTTAAACAAGCAGCCATAAAATCCAAGTGAGGTAACAACTAAGTTCACATGGAAGAAGTACAGCAACCTTTGTGATCCAAGGATTGAAAATAATAGAACCCAAACATGAAGGAGGAAATGGTATCAGAGCTTAAATTGTAAACACCTGGTTTTCAGAGGCTATGGATTACAGGGAAGCCCCAAATCCATTCGCAGGATCCACACATGAATTAAGCCTCCAGTGATTTCCCTCTAATCATAGTCATGGGATGTGAATAGCTCTGTTATCAGACAGAGTATTGTGGAGATTATTATAGTAGATATAGCAAAGTTAAAATGTAACAACTGATTTGATTCATCCCTTTGGCTCATTTAAAAGTTTTTATCAGTCAAGAAAAAAAGATATATACACATGGATTAAGATTTCTATTTAGATCACCTGTTGTTCCCTTATCCCCCACCTCCTCCTCTCCCATGTCCCACTGGAACTGTCGGTCCCGTTGTTTTCTCCTCCAGATTGTTCATCCAG